AAAGAAGGTGGAGACGTTGAATCCGTTGAGAATGTCTGTAATTTAGGCTCAGTAGCCAGGATCTCCTGCAGAGCCACCATGTTTCCCAGCGTTCCCCTGCAAGAGCTTGGACAAACTGTGGTGTGCGACACTTCTGTAGGGCTTGTGTGCAAAAACCGAGACCAGAATCCAGGGGGAGCCACCCCCATGCCTTACTGCCTCAACTATGAGATCAATGTCTACTGCTGTGTTCCTAGCCCTGAATGCCTCACAACGTATCCCACCAGCACCTCGCAGATCACAACCACGACACCCACCACCACCTCAACAGAGCCCCCAACTTCGACCTCCCCCACCACGGAGACCACAACCCCCAGCACGACCACCAGCACCGGGACCACAACCCCCAGCACGGCCACCACCACGGAGACCACAACCCCCAGCACCACCATCACCACGGAGACCACAGCCCCAACACCTACCATCAGCACCACCTCCACAGGGACTCCTACTCCGACACACACCACCAGCTCCACAGTGACCCCAACCCCAACACTCACCACCTCAACAGAGCCCCCAACTTCGACCTCCACCACCCCGGAGACCACAACCCCCAGCACGATCACCACCACGGAGACCACAACCCCTCCATGTGTGCCTGTCTGCAGTTGGACCGGCTGGCTGGATTCTGCTAAACCGAACTTTACCAAAGAAGGTGGAGACGTTGAATCCGTTGAGAATGTCTGTAATTTAGGCTCAGTAGCCAGGATCTCCTGCAGAGCCACCATGTTTCCCAGCGTTCCCCTGCAAGAGCTTGGACAAACTGTGGTGTGCGACACTTCTGTAGGGCTTGTGTGCAAAAACCGAGACCAGAATCCAGGGGGAGCCACCCCCATGCCTTACTGCCTCAACTATGAGATCAATGTCTACTGCTGTGTTCCTCGCCCTGAATGCCTCACAACGTATCCCACCAGCACCTCGCAGATCACAACCACGACACCCACCACCACCTCAACAGAGCCCCCAACTTCGACCTCCCCCACCACGGAGACCACAACCCCCAGCACGACCACCAGCACGGAGACCACAACCCCTCCATGTGTGCCTGTCTGCAGTTGGACTGGCTGGCTGGATTCTGCTAAACCGAACTTTACCAAAGAAGGTGGAGACGTTGAATCCGTTGAGAATGTCTGTAATTTAGGCTCAGTAGCCAGGATCTCCTGCAGAGCCACCATGTTTCCCAGCGTTCCCCTGCAAGAGCTTGGACAAACTGTGGTGTGCGACACTTCTGTAGGGCTTGTGTGCAAAAACC